TCTATTGATAAAAATTATAGTAATAATATAATTAGTAATTATTATAGTAATATAATTATAAAAAATAATAATTTATTAGCAAAATTAATTTGAGCATGTTTAGCAAAATGATTGTAAAGTTGTTTATATACTTCATAATATTTAATATAAAGTTTGCGTAGAATTTATATCTTAAATACTTTATTTCACTTACGAGTTACTTGTTAGTAAAATTTGTAAAAATACTGTAGTAAAATTTACTACATTATTGTTTGCAACATTTACTTGAGTTCATTTATAAATCATTTGTATTTACATTAGAAAACAGCGTTACAATAGGTATTAGCATACAATAGGGGGTGGGAGGGTAGTGACAACTATAGAGAGGATGGGGTGAATGCACAGAGAAAACACATAGAGGGGAATAGAATGATGAAATGGGTAACAGACTTAATGGCTGGTGGCTAGTAATAAACTAATTTTATCATTGACTACAAAGATAATTGAGAATAATAGTAAAGTGTCGATAAGTATATTAATATTTATCTGGTTTTTATACAGTAAAACCAATAAATATCAAATGTCAATATAATAATAAAGTATTAATATTTTATGTATTAATGTTGAATTTTCTTTTCTTTCAATATACAATATTTTGTAATTTTTTTCTTACATTTGATATTTAAAAAATTTAATAGAAATAATACCTGTCGTAAATTTCCATAATCTTATAAAAGGTAATATTAATTGATAATGGGAAACATATTATGTCCATGTATATTCCGTAAAAAATCTCGGTACGTAAATTTTCATTTATAAAAATAGTATTATATTTTTAAAAAATCATCAAGTTAGCTCTATTCAATTTAAATATTGCCATCAAACTAACTAAATTCACAACCCTGGCCATTATTGCTCGTTATACTTATACATATTCAATATTACATTAAAAATTATTTATTTATTTTGTTAATTAATTAAAGTATAATTTAATTTCTATAACAATAATTAAATGTTTTCATGCTATGCTGTTATCACATTATTTTAGCGGCTACGGCGACGACTACGGCGCACCGATGGCTGATAATCGACTGACCGTATTTAATAAAAGGATTGAAGAATTACAAGAAAGTTATGTAAATACAAAACAACTAATCAATAAATCAACAATGACTGAACAAGAAAAGAAGAATTATCTAGATAGGTTGTCTGGTTGTGAGCAATATTTATTATCACGTCAAAATATATCGCACTCAGAGTTGGCCTCATATGAAGCACAGTTGGATTCAGTGAGAATTTCTATTAGGCAACTGCACCCACAGACTAACACGTACTCCAGAGATGGATTGTAAAAATTAATTTTAAATATTTAATTAAAATCAAGTGTTTATTTGTTAACGATAGAATATTGTTTATTTAATTATTAGATAAACGCAATATTAAAAGTAATTTTAAATGTGAACATACCTAGGCCATACCTAGGCCATAGACTTAGCAGCCAAACGATATTATAAACCACAACATTCAATGCTGAATTACGGTTAAAAACATATTATATTAACAAATATGAGATAATGATCTGTTAATCTAGAAAGCTCACACAATATGAATTAGTTAATATTATATCAGTTTATCTTTTTAAACATTGGATGAATGGGCATTACCATAGATTACTTATTTTTAATATACTGTTTAATAATTACCAATATTACTCATTAAAAAAGTAATGAGTGAATACAATGGTAATGCCAATTCATTCAATGTTTAAGAAGTTAACTTTAACCAATTGATATGATAAATAATGCAAACTTAACAAAAATGGAAAAGATTGGATTCTTATAATAAAATATTAATCCTGCATTTACGATAAAATTATTAAAAGTTGGATATATTTATATACTGTATTTTTAAAGTAGTGGCCGCTTCCAATTCATACAACAATTTACACTTGTAGTAAGTTGATTAAGTATGCATATAAATTTATCAAATGACATAGTCTCAATTAAGTTAGGTTTATGAATTAGAAATAAATTCTTACTAATAAATTAGTTTGACAATGAATTAAAAGTAATTTTAAGTTGCATAAATTATATTAATAGAAAATGTTATCATGTATCTAAAGTAAGTCCTTTGTATAAAATAATTTCAATAAAATTTATCAAATAAATTCAAGCATCAAATCAAGCATTATATTAAGATTATACATAATCATTGACTAAATATAATAATATAAAGTTATATTTCTTATATGTATTTCAAATGAACAAAACAAGATATATTTATGTTTATAAAGCTGATTATAAAATTACAATATCAAAATGAAATGTTTTATATGTAATAAATAATTATTGTATTATCTTTACATATATGAATTGTGTACATTTTATTACCAACTTATTTCATTTCTACACAGTTATAACATTCATATCACTTGTAGTAAGTTTATGCAAGTGTATAAAAGCAAAATTTTTTAAAGTAAAGTAAAAAGTTTCAGTAAAAACCACAAACCATACATTTTAATTTGCAAACCTATCCAAATGACTGATCTTATTGAAACATGTTAGCTAAACTTGTTTAATATTGATCAGTCCTAAACATAAACTTATTCTACTGATATACTATACAAGTTAAGTAAGTTAAGTGTATAAAAGTTTTTGAGAAATTGTTAATTTATACGCGGTGAGACAAGTTCATTGTGATGGCTGACGTGGTTGATTTCAATGTTGTTTTTACATTTAAAACAAAATTTAAAGACCTATGCACTACAAATATGTGGTTGAATTTGTATGCGGCCAATTGTACGGCCTGTGGCGTTGACCACAATATATTTGTAGATTTAAAGTGGATTAACGTGATCCCTTTGCTGCACATTAGCGCAGGTATGTATAATTAAAAATTATTATAGTTTGTGCTTCATGTTAAAAGTAAACATTATTTTATAAATTTGGTAGATATTGCAAACGGTCTGTGTGTTTCTCGATTTTCAGATTTAGGTCCATTCAGAAGGACTTTCAAACAATTTCGAAGAAGGTATTACTAATTAAGTCCTAGTTAATGTTATTACATTTTTATATTCTATTAAAGCCGGTCCGTCGCCATTACCAGATAATAGACTTAGCTCATTGCGGTCGTTAAGTGCCAGTTGTGGCGTTAAATCTGTTAATGCAAAAGTGGTTAAACCAGATGATACAAAGATTAGTATTAACAACACGGGTAAACTTGATAATGTAATTAAGATTCCCAATTTTCAATTGCCATTAAAGGCAAATACTATTTAAAAACGTTATGATGATTTAGCATAATTAAATGTTTTTAAGAAAAATAACATTCTAACTGCACTTGACAAATATTTACTTGAAAAACATTTACTCGAATGACATTTTCTCGAACGACATTTACTAAATTACAGTTTATTTTTTAAAATAACTATATTTTAAAAAATATCTTTTGAGAAAAATAATTTGATTAGATAATATTTTATTATATGCCATTTGTGTAAATGTCATTTAATTCAATATTATTTGAGTAAATTCTTGTCAAGTGCAGTTAGAAAATGTCATTCGAGTAAATATAATTTGGTGATGTGTAGTAATTGTGAGTTTGAGAAAATTTCCTTCGAGTTAATGTAATTCAAGAAAATGTTATTTAAGTATGAACTTTGAGTAATAATAATTTTTTGTGAAATTAAATGTAAAGATATATTATGCAAATCTTGTAATATTAGTTATTAATTGTGTTAATATCTAATTGATATAATTTAACTTAAAACAATCAAATTTTTATGTAAGCATTTAAGTGTTTTATTAATAAATGAATACATTTGAATAAAATTAAAGATTATCTATAAGGTGTCTCAATAAAATTTGGCCGTCGGAATTTGGCGATTACTCGGGAACCGCTTAGGTGACACTAGTGTTGCTTCACACATATATAGAGTCATATTGGGTAAATTTTATGGCATGAATATTTTTTTAGTCACGTGATTATTTTTTTTTTTTGAAAAATGGATAATTTCCTGAACCCATAAATATTTGCTATTGTGGCAATAGAAGGAAGAAATAGGGGTTAGGGGTGGATAAAGGAGGTGTCATAGTGTTGTGCAAACTTAGAACCATCATGATAGCATTGCAGGTTTTTATGCAATAAAAATGACTTATTTTTGCTTGTTAACCTATGGGAGGGTAAAATAAAATTAGATTTAACTACATTGAATTATATTCTTTGAGATGATTATGTTAGTACAAAAAAGTTTTTAAAAATATTAATCTAAACACAAAATATTGTTAATTGAAATATCGAGTTTTTTACGTTTTTATGGCTAATTAATAAATGTTACAAAATCTATTATGTTTAGCGATACCAGAAAGTTGCACCTTTGTTGCAACTTTATATATATTAAAGCGAAAAAGGTACCGTATATTTATCAATATGTCTATTAGCGTATGAGTGTTGCATTTGTGTCAAAAATACACAAATGAATCATATTACAATATATTTAAAAAACATGACTGGTTTCCCTAATGATGTTGTAAAATTTTAAAATCCTAACTATTTGTGATTACAATAATTATTTGAAAATTATTGAAGATTAATTACTTATTTAATAAACTTAACCCCAAATTCTTTATTAGTGTTTACAATAATAGTTATTTGTCAAAAATAAAATATAAATTACTTATTAATACCAAGTTATAAGTACGATATTGTCTGAATTACATGGCAACCGATAATAATATAATCTTTTATATTTATGTTTGATTTATTATAACATTGAATATGGCATTTTGTTGTTGAATACTAAATAAATATTGTTATGTATATTTTCACTTAATTGTGTTTAAAACCGCAATTAAATAAAATGGACTCAAATATACAAACGTGTGTTGAAAACGACAATTCAATAATCAATGAAATAAAATTATTTCACGTTTTTTGATGACAAACGGGGATATAATGTACTGTTTGTGACAAACAATGACTGCTTGTATGGGTTGGGCTCTAACGGCGGCGGATCACTAGGTTTTGGGCACAACCTTCCCGTCCGATCGCAACAACTTATACCACAATTATGTGACAAAAATATACAACAATTCATAACTGGCGTTGACTTTGTGTTGGCTATCACTGATAACAAAACTGTGTATGGTTGGGGTGTTAATGACCATGGGCAGTTGGCTAGACAACTTTGTTCAGATCAGTGTTTACCAGAAGTCATTGAATTTTTCACCACCAAGTATACGTGAAATATATTGCGGTTATTATCATTCACTGGCGCTAACCAGTGATGGCCGGGTATACGCGTGGGGGCAGAATATGTTTGGCCAAATAGGGTGCACAGACGTTGACCATGGTAGCGTAGATGTTCCCAAAGAATTATGCTTTAGTGAAAACTGCCAAATCAATAGTGTCTACTGTTCACTCTACTCGTCATTTGCCATCACAACTGATGGACAGGTGTTTAGTTGGGGTCGAAATCATTGGTATAATTTGGGACACAATGACCACAATGTGTTGACACCCCGTATAATACCGGGTGTTTGTAATGTGCAAACTGTTCGCTCAAATGGCAATCAAACCTGTTTTCTAACTCGCGATGGTTTTGTGTATATTTGCGGTCAATATCATGAAAATGAATTGAGCTTGATGCAAAAATTACCAATTATAATACCAACTTTAAATATGTGCACTGAATTAGATCTAGTTCTTTCACGTCTAAATAATTTTTTTGAAATAATTGCTACAACAGATGATAAATTATTTAGTATTATATCACAGAATGATGTAATTGTTACGAAATATAATAATATATTAGATTATTGCCTGGATGAATTTCAATTAACAAACAAAACAGTTAATTTGAACAATAATAATAAATATAATTATGAATGTATCGATAAGTACCGCAACAAATGTAGTAACTATTTGAATGAAATGTTTGAAATAATTGGACAATTATCCGATGGTAAGTTAAAAATAAAACAAATATAATAAATTTTAATTATTTTAATTAACTTTCTAGATCAAAATGAAACACGGAGTTGTTTGACACCCAATGATTATACAAGACATTTTGAAGAAATAGTTAAATTAGGCTCAGGATCATTTGGTACAGTTTATAAAGTTAGAAAATTAAATGACGAACAACACTATGCAATCAAAATCATTAAACTCAGAAGTAATATTAATTATTATTCTATTATTTTTATTAATTTTATTTTCATATTATTATTTAGGTAAATTAGGTAAACTAAATTCTGGAGAGCACAATCAATTTTATGCGGAATTAAATCACTTAGTGACTGTCCGGTCTGAATACGTGGTCAAATACATAGACTCGCGGTTTGAGGGGAATCTATATTACATACAAATGGAGTTGTGTTCGGATAGTCTTCGAAATATTTTAAAGAAAAACTCGACGTTTTTCCCCGAGAATTGGGACAACCGATGAATTGTGTCGAGTATTACATTTCGTGCGAAATATTTCGTGAACTCTTACAATGCGTTTAATACCAGATCTTGACTGTCCAAGGTATAATTTTTACTTTATATTTAATTACTGTATATATTTGATTACTTTATAAAGTAGGATGACGAATGTGGGCTAAGCTGGCACCCGGGATTTGATAACATAAATAAAAAGTACATTGTATGAGGAGTCCAATGATATAATCTATATGGTCGACCGACCTCGGGTTCGGCGGTAGTGACCACTTTTATCGGGAAATTTTAACTTATAAAAAATTAACATATGATATATGAGATCTATGTAGAATTTAACGTAAAATCAGAATATATTACTATTAATTGCATGGGACATATCGTTTTTAAAATATTTTTAAAATTAAAAAATTATAATTTCAATTTTTGTTATTTTGACGTTATTTATTGACGAGTCGTGGTAGGAGTTGTGGTGGTTTTGTGGGTGGTGGTCGGGGTTGTGGTTGTGATTGTGAATTGCTGTGGGTAGTTGGATGGGGTTGTGGTGGCTTAGTGGGTGGTGGTTTAGTGGGTGGTGGTTTAGTGGGTGGTGGTCGGGTTGTGGTGGTTTTGTGGGTGGTGTTCGGGGTTGTGGTAGTTCTGTGGGTGTTCTGTTAGAGCATAACAGTTTATTATGATAAAATTAAGCATTTTTACACAAATTACAATAAAACTATTACTTCCACTAGTTTGATATTGGTATATTCTGATTCTACGTTAAATTCTATATTGATTTCATATATCATATGTTAATTTTGAACATGTTTATATTTACCGAAAATAGTGACCAATATTGCCGATTTTGAGGTCGGGTTGTCATCCCGATTCTTTTTATTTTTTTTTTAATTTAGCATATATTAAGTGACATAAAGAAAATCGCATTAAATTAACTTTTAATTAAAATTCGCCCACAATACTATAAACGTAACTTTTTTACGGAGGGTTAAATAAAAAATATTTTTTTAGCCAAATTAACATAGAGTCTTCGTCACCCTTCTTTTTACTTACGTTATTTATTTATTTATTTTATATGTATTTTATTTTATGTAATTTTCTTCTTGTTTTGTAGACTCTATTCATCAAATAAAATTTTAAATAAATCGTGGTATAATTTGGTAGAGGTATTGGCGACCATGTATACGACTCCCCGTTGGGAATCGCGACCCGAGTGCTCACAAGTAGTTGCAAAAATATAACGACTGATCTATTGATAAAAATACTATAATTAGTAATAGACGGGAATATGAAATTATTTTGAACATGCTTAAACAAACTGATTATTCTTTTTTCTATAAATTCTTACTGACTAAAACTTAATTTATTAACTAATTTTTTAATAAATAAAAATGATTGTAATTGTTGATTAAAAATTATGTTTATTTAATCAGACTTGTACGTGCATACAACTATAAGAGTTCTGTTTATAATTTTGTTATAAATCATAACCAGGAACGCTATAAAATAGAGAGAGAGAGAGAGATTAATTTTATTATGACGTGGTTATTGAATCACCAAGTTAAATTGTCAACTATCCTTCAAAATAATCGTTATTAATTATAAAACAAAGATTCCCCTAGATTTATAAAAGTTTGTATTAAACTATTATAATTGAATAATAAAAGTTATATTTAAGTTCAATCCCCACTTTTGATATTAGTGTATACTATATATGAGTAGCACTTGAATAGAGTATGAATTACACAGCAATTGTTTTATAAAATAGGCCGATACGGCCTATCAATGGCATCGATGATCATAACTAAGGTTATTATCACAAATAAAAATATGTTCAATATTAAATTTTTTTATAATAAATATGATAAGCACACTTATATTTGCTTTATAGTTATTATACCTGTTTTCCATACCATTATTCTTGATAGCGCAAAACAATTTTAATCGAAATTACATTATATTTTGAACACACCTAACAGTAACTGTGTTATATGGCGTATTAACAATATGGTGTATGTAAAGTTGGATGAGCTCGGATATAATCCAACAAAGGATTACAATGTTGTTAAGATTATGTCTTATGATTTAGAAAAAGTTCTGAAGCAACATCAGCTTGATATTTATAAATTAGACGCTGAATATTATATTCTTCTTAAAGGTAATAATAATTTGTAATGTAATATTACATGTTTAGCTAAATTAACACTTTTAATTAACTTGAGTGGTTTTAACAAAGCACAAAAGCAATGTCAACTTGACCTGGCTAAAGACTTCGTTAAAAATAATATTGTTCGTAAAGGTAAAGATAATTTGTAATGTAATATTATATGCAATATAAAGCTTTATATCAAAACTATATATATCAATTTAACTACAAGTCGAAAGCAGCTAAAGTGACAAATGTGTAATTTTACAAAAAAAAGTTTCCAATCTGGAAATTTTTGTGACATAAAATTATTTTTGTCAAATGACTATAATATAATATATACACTTTATATGTATATTATAAGTTAATATTATATAATGTTATATATTCTGTGGAAATGAATAATTTGCAAGACCCATAGACCAAATTATAACAAATATATATATATACACGTAAGGACAAAACTTGGTTCCCTCGAAATTGTTGAATAAAAACTCTCTCGATGGATCAATCAACTAGGTGATTTCACAGAATTCTTCTATGGATAATTAAGACATTTTTACTAATTGAGACCATTTTTGTAACTATCATGGTTGTTACGCAATTTCAATTTTTAAAAAAAATTAGATTTCAAAAAATCCCCATAGAAAATAATAAGAAATTTACAAAGGATTTTGTACTTGACTGATGTGAATATGATATTTAATATAAAAATGTTTATATTGATTATAAACTTTTACATTTTATTAATTAAAGTTATTTTAAAAGACTATGACCACCACCGCATATTGTAGTGCCGTACCGTCCACAACACCCTGTCCGATGGCCATTCAGACAGGTTGCCGTGGCGGCCGGCGGTTTCCCTTATATAGGTTAGGTAGGTGACGAGTACATAAATGGGAAACCCTACCTTAATGACTTGTTGTCCTTAAGCGGCGACTCGACTGATGTCCACTTCTGGCCTTCGGGTTTTGAATCGGGTTATAATAATTAGACTTTGGTTTTAAATTAAAATAACACTTATTTATTTAGAATAACACATAATTATATACAAAATGAATTATAGTCGGCTGAACCAGGAGTTTTTGTGGTGTTTTATGACAAGAGCCCGAATTGCCTGTTATGTGTGTGACATAGGGGTTATATAGTGGGCCTCACCCTAATTACAAGTATTTCTATTGGGTCATTAGGTAAAGTTGCTAAAGAACTCTTAGTAATTATTGGTTAATTATTATATACATTAGTACCGCCCAATAGACATGGCATGTCACAGGCGATGTGACAAAAGAGTGTGTGGATGAGTGAGATAAGACAGTATTATGTATCCGGGAAACATAGTGTAAATTGTATTCAGTATACTGTGCCAGATATGTGGGATGCGTTATAATATAACAGTTATATAGTGTTTAAAATTATGAGTTATTTAATATCAGCTCTAAATTATTATGATAGTTGATTTCTAAAAATTTAATCTAAAAATGATAGAACAAAATTATTAGAACTAATAAGCCGAATTTTATATTTTGTCAAACTAATGTTTGCTATCATTAGCACAAAATCGAACAATGTAGTACAATCATTTATGTTAAATATAAAAGTGTTCTATTTTGTTTAGACTTCAAATGTTATAATTTCAAGGCGTTTAAAGATTGTTGAAGCGTACTTAAATTTATGATAAATAAATTGAGATCCCAGTATAAGTTTAGGATTATGAATATTGTTAATTCTATAATAAATTTAAATTTTTAATCTATTGTTAAGATGATAACAGAAGTACTATAATTATTTATTTTGTAAATAACGTAGTATATTGCTAATTTTGTTAATTAATGGCCCAACTAGTTAATTAAAATATGCGGTGATGGTCATAGTCCTTTAAAATAACTAAATTAATAAAATGTAAAAGTTTATAATCAATATAAACATTTTTATATTAAATATCATATTCACATCAGTCAAGTACAAAATCCTTTGTAAATCTCCTATTGCTTTTTATGGGGATTTTTTGAAATCTAACTTTTTTAAAATTGAAATTGCGTAACAACCATGATAGTTACGAAAATGGTCTCAATTAGTAAAAATGTCTTCATTATCCATGGAATAAATCTGTGAAATCACCTAGTTGATTGATCCATCGAGAGAGTTTTTATTCAACAATTTCAAGGGAACCAAGTTTTGTCCTTATGTGTATATATATATGTGGTCAACAAACCAATATCACAAATCATGAATTATTATTTATGTTAAATTACATAATTGTTACTGGAACAACTGAGTCATTTTAAAAACAAGTTTATTAATTGTTTTTGTACAATTATATTGTTATGACCACTGAGAAGGACAAGCATTCGCGCAGTTGCGACGCGGGGACAGCTATGGGAGAAGTACTGCGGGGGAATTCTGCGGGCCGATAGTGTCCACTTGTCTTCAGTGGCTACAAAGAATGAGGGATGAGATGAGGAGTAATGGCGGAATGAATGAGACGTTGAGTGCGTGAATTGAACGCTTTTATTGAGTGTTTAGGAGTTTATGTCGAGTGTGTGAGAGAGAGATTGAGACTGGAGTACAATGTGTTTTGAGTGTGTATTATAAAGGGGTACAGAGTGTGAGAGTACTGGAAAAGTACCAGTATTTGATTGGTTAGGGTTGTTGCTGAAAGGTACAGTGAGTGCGGATCAGGAGATTAGGATTACAAATGCGGGTGAAATAGTACTTCTAAGAATACAATAATATTTAGAGGTCATGTACATGACAATATATATTACGTTGTTGTGAGATTTTAATTTTTATTATTATTATCAAATTTATCATATTAAATCAATGTGATTTATAATGTTTCACAGTAATTAATAAAATTCTTTCTTATTAAATACTCGGAATTCGGTTGAAGCAATTCGCGCCATAAGCAATAATAACGATAAATCAAAGATAAACATGTTAATTGACCTGGGCACAACCAATGGTAGCGAGGCGATAAATATGTCCGAAAAACAGACCGACACCAAAGACAATGATCTTGTTACGCATTTACTGAACAGTATGAACAAGTTAAGCAGCGTAGATCACTCGACTAGTAATAATTGGACAATATCAATTAAATCAGAAAAATTTGTTTCAGGTTGTGAAGAACATTACGAATTAATGTTGTTTATAGATTTAGAACAATTTGTTGCATACTGTCTCATATTTGATAATGGTACTTGGCGAACTTTCACTGTTAATTGTAAGTAAAATCGAGTTTAATTGTAATATTACAATAATATTTTTTAAAAATAATTTACAGGTGTACCATCTCCATTACCAGATAATAGATATAATGCTATGCGAGCGATAAAAGCTAGATGTGATGAAAAATTAAATCAAATGAAACTTGGTACGAAAAATGTGAAACACCTTAACGTTAATGAATCGGATAAAACTGTTAATGCAAATAAGCTCAATAATTTTGATTTGTCGATGCAGTTAATACCCGCCCCTAAAAATCCGTAAATTGACAATTATTATATTAAATTGAATACTATCAAATATTTTTTGCATTAATTAAATATGTAATTCCTATAAGTAAATATTAAAGTATTAAGTAATTTCTAATTTTCACACTATTTATCATAAAAATATTAATTATATGCATGCAACATGTTTTTGTGCTATTGTTGTTTATATTTATTAAATTACGAATATGTAACTTTTAAAAATATATTACAATCAATTTATTGTCAAAATATATTTACTACAAGATTCTATTAATATGTAAATTGTATTTAATTAGTTATTACCTTAACATTAAAAACGTTTAACTATGATTTTGATACTATAGTATTCATTCTACATGAACTATTAGTGTATAATAAATTAAGTTTTTGATTTTATAAATAATTAAAGAATTGTTATTTAAATAATCAAAGTTTATTAGTTAAAATCAAATTCATTAAGGTACGTTATATTTTTAATTGCATGGCAACCGATATGAAATCTATCACTTTTATTTACGTTTTATTTATTATAACACTAAATAAAACCTTATTTTTTAAAAATTAATTATTTAATAAATATTCGTTGAATTGTATTTACAAAAGTTTCTAAATAAAATTGACTTGACAATGTAATGAAAACGACAATTTAATTATAACTGAAATAAAATTATTTCACATTTTTTATAACTAACGGAGACATGAATGCCCTAGGTGACATCAAATTGTCTCATTTTTTGACTATTAATTTTGCAAATTTATTGCAACTTTACAATTTAAATAATAACAGTAACATGGTGAATAAATCCAAATGTAATAATCTGCGTTTATAATAAAAATGTATTTGCAAGAACGGCAAATTATTAAAAAGATGATAATAACATCAATATATCTCATAAAAATAAAGCAATTATTTATAAGTTTTTATGACAATACTAAAATAATAAATTGCATTATCAGCAATATATATTGCTTGTGAGATAATTGTAATGACGTTTTTAAATATATCTTAATCAATTGTATTATTTAGTATTTTTAACATTACGTGACAACCGTTAATCTATTTGTCGTTATATGATAAGCGCTTTTATATTTGTAATTTTTCTTATAATATTGACATTTTAGTTATTTTTTACTTATTTTAAAAATCCAATATTTCAATTCAATTAACACAATTATTAAGTACTGAGTGTCATATAAACATTTAATGTAAATGATATATAAATTAATAATAATAGTTAAATATGATTTATACAATTATTATCGCTAGTATGATTACTATTTTTATTTATAAATGGTTACGTAACCATGTACAGGAACGACGTGACAACTTATATACCCAACTAATATATAATCGAAATAAAACAAAGAATGCTAGACTTTTCAGCGTAAATCCGCAAGTTAAATTTCATGGTAAAATTAATTGATTTGTATTTAAATAATTAATAATTGTTAAATTTATTGATGTTAATTTTAATTATTTATTTAGCCCAAGGTCCCGCGCCTGACAATAGAAAACATAGAAATTCGGATTTCACAATATGTGAAGGTAAATAAAATACCTAGATATTATTACTATTATTGATCATTTATTAAAGTATGACGAAATATTAATATAATTAATTATTAAGCTCAAGGTGCCTATCCGGACAATAGATTTAAGAGAAAATTAGCCACATTAGACATATTACATTTAACTAATAAAAAGTTTAGAAATTCCGTAGAAAATCGACCACAATCTAACAATGATAACATAAATAATTTTAAACAAAGTCAGAAGCAGGAGAAACTACTAAATATTACATTAATTACAAAATATCAAGTATGTATGATTTAATTTTAAATTCACACTAAAATAACAAATACAAATAAAAATATTATACTGTAATAGAGATACAATATAAATGTCATAATTGTAATATATTTTAACTTAAAAGTGTGGCCACGAGATGCTTATTCAATCATTAAATCGTGCCAATGACCACAGGCACCCGAGTTATGGCTAAATTTTTAGTCAATTACTTAAATCTCTATGCATTAAGAAATAATGATTTACATGTGTCATGTCATTTACCATAAAATATAACTCATTAAGCCCTATAAAAATGCTCAGAAATTTGGCCATACCTCGAGTATCTGTAGCCATTGGCACGATTTGATGGCTGAATAGTTATCTCGTGGCCACATCTTACACAGAATGACCCACATGGTAGTTTCACTTTTTAGTTAAAATATATTACAATAATGGCATTTATAGTGTATTTCTAGTATTTAAACTCATATTTTAATTTAAAGTTACGTTTGAATTATTAATTAAAATATTGTTTAAAAATTAAGCGGTTAAATAAAATGTGCTCTAATTCACAAACATGTGACAAAGACAAATTAATTATGGAAGAAATTAAATTATTTCACGTTTTTGACGACAAACGCGGATATAATGTACTGTTTGTGACAAACAATGACTGCGTGTATGGGTTAGGCTCTAACGGCGGCGGATCACTGGGTTTTGGGCACAACCTTCCCGTCCGATCGCAACAACTTATACCACAATTATGTGACAAAAATATACGACAATTTATAACTGGCGTTGACTTTGTGTTGGCTATTACTGATAGCAAAACGGTGTATGGTTGGGGTATTAATGACCATGGGCAATTGGCTAGACCACCTTGTTCAGATCAGTGTTTACCAAAAATCATTGAATTTTTTACTGTCAAAAATATACACAAAATATGTTGTGGTTATTATCATTCTCTAGCGTTGACCAGTGATGGCCGGGTATACGCGTGGGGACAGAATATGTTTGGCCAAATAGGGTGCACAGACGTTGAGCATAGTAGCGTATCTGTTCCCAAAGTATTAGGTTTTAGTGAAAACTGTGAAATTAATAGTGTCTACTGTTCACTCTACTCGTCATTTGCTATAACAACTGAAGGACGAGTGTTTAGTTGGGGTCGAAATCATTGGTATAATTTGGGACACAATGACCACAACGTGTTGACACCCCGTATAATACCGGGTGTTTGTAATGTGCAGACTGTGAGATCAAATGGCAATCAAACTTGTTTTTTAACTCGCGATGGTTTTGTGTATATTTGCGGTCAATATCATGAAAATGAATTAAACTTGATGCAGAAATCACCAATTATAATACCAAGTTTAAATATGTGCATGGAATTAGATCTAGTTCTTTCACGTTTAAATAATTTCTTTGAAATAATTGCTAAAACTAATGATAAATTATATAGTATTATATCACAGAATGATGTAATTGTTACGGAATATAATAATATATTAGATTATTGCCTTGATGAATTTCAATTAACGCACAAAACAATTAATTTGTATACCAATAATGAACATAATTATGAATGTATCGATAAGTATCGCAACAAATGTAGTAATTATTTGCATGAAATGTTTAAAACAATTAAGCAATTAGCTCATGGTAAGTTAAAAACAAAACAAATATAATAAATTATAATTATTTTAATTAACTATTTAGATCAAAATAAAAGGAAGAGTTCCGCGGTAATCAATGATTACAACAGACTCTTTGAAGAATTAGGTAAATTGGGCTCAGGATCATTTGGTACAGTTTATAAAGTTAGAAAAATAAATGACGAACAACAATATGCCATCAAGATCATTAAACTCAAAAGTAATATTGATTAGTATTTTATTACATATAATTAATTTAATAATATAAATAATATTTTTATTCTACAAGCAAAACTAAATGCTGGTGAGCATGATCAATTTTACTCGGAATTAAACCACCTAGTTGCTGTTCGGTCTGAATACGTGGTCAAATACATAGACTCGTGGTTTGAGGGGAATCTATATTACATACAAATGGAGTTGTGTTCGGATAGTCTTAGAAATATTTTAAAGAAAAAACTCGACGTTTTTCCTCAAGAATCGGGACAACCGATGAATTGTGTCGAGTATTACATATCGTGCGAAATATTTCGTGAACTCTTACAATGCGTTCAATATCTGCATGAATTGTCGCCACAAATCATACACCGAGACCTCAAACCTGACAATATATTAGTCTCAATGAATGGGTCCTATAATAATGGCAACTATTTTAAACTATGTGATTTTGGTTTAGCCGCTATACACGATAAGAATGCGTATGAGTTAACCGGCGGTAAACACTCGGCAGGTGTGGGAACTGTAGGCTTTCAGGCCCCGGAAGTGTCCCGTGGACTGCCCTACAACCACTTGAGTGATGTGTTTAGTTTGAGCAAAATTGGTGAAATTCTATTTGATCTAGATATTTCTGATGTGGATCCAGATTGTCCAGGGTATATTTTATTTTTTTATATTTTATTTTATGTGTATTTATTATATTTTATTTAATGTTCTTATTGTTTTGTAGACTGTATTCATCAAATGAAGTGTTGAATAACTCGTGGTATAATTTGGTAGAGGTGTTGGCGGCCATGTACTCGACTCCCCGCTGGGAATTGAGACCCGAGTGCTCACAAGTGTTAAAACAATATAACAAATGGTCTATTGATAAAAATATTATAATGAGTGATAAAGTCGATTACGAATTAATTTTAAGCATGCTTAGACAAAATGATTGTACATTTTTCTATGAATTCCTTTGTAATAAAACAATATAATTTTACTTAACTTAGCAATCCCATAAATCACATTTTATCCTAAATGAATTGTGGTTAAAAATTTATATTATTTTGTGTAAAAAATATAAAATGCTTTAATCATTTAACTCAAAATTAAAATGAGTAATACTCAGCCAATGATTAATAAATATATGAATAATTATGTAAATAGTGTTAAGAATCATTTGCTACAGTTTATAAAGTAAGGAAGTTTAATGGTAAATAACATTATGCCACTATTCACACAATTAAACTCAATGGTAATATTAAATTGTATTATTAATAATTGCCGTATTATTCTATAGACTTCATGATAAAATATTATAATTTTACGTATATTATAATTATTGAGAAATGTATAGAATATGTACAGGTGTGAGAACAATAGAACAACTGTATAATAATTACACATTATAAATATATAATGTTTTGAAATATATTTTATTGTATTAAAACATGCTTATTCAACTGTTTTACTTTGGTTATTAATAATAAATAATAAGTGTATCTATGGTAATAGATATATAATTATAGTGGTTGTAAATAATTCCAACTAATTCTATTGTTATACAGTGTAGTTGTAGTTAATAGTTTAATGTACTATTACATGATATAGTTAATTGTGTTTAAATATAATATTTTTTAAAAAATCCCTTAAGTTAACATGTAAAAATTGCCATAGCATAGCAACTTAACAACTTTTCATAGAAACCCATTATAAAGTAATATTTATATATTATTTAAGAATACATTATATTTGTATTTTTATATTACACTTTATGTAAATACATGAGACTTAAATATATAGAGTTATTCCGGGGATAAAATATATACAGTATATCCCCTCTATCGTTATAAAGTAAATTTAGTATTTAATATATAAAGTAAATAATATTAGTTAGGTTAGTTGAGGTTAGGTTAGGTTAAGTTATAAATTATTATTATTGAGACGTGTAATTTCTATAATAAATTTACTAATTTTTTAAATAGTATTCTATAGGAATTTCGGTACTCTTATACTCTGCCCATATACTAAAGTGCCTCCAAGTCTTTAACGAAAATCCCAGTATTAATAGTGCATTTGTGATCAAAAATAGTTCAAACTTTTGTATTCTTTCGTCCCTTTTTCAAATGACCAAAAGTCAATTAAAATCTCACAAAACATACTAAATGCATGTAATTTTAATATACTATTATTTTTGATAGTGTAAAACTTTAAAAATTGTCCTTCTGCTATTGGCTTTATTATGCTAGATATGCCAATCTGTGCATCAAGAGGTGACAAACATCACATTTCTTATTTATATTTTATTCAAAATATTTTTAAGTAATTATCAATACAATTATTACAATCATTATTACTAATATTACTATTTACTGTAATTTATTTATTAATACATAAGGTTAATTCGATTGCTCGCCAATAAAATAATACAATTAATAATCAATTAATAAAAATAATTTCATCATATAGAATAATTAATAAGATAATAAATATAGATTGTACAGTAATTTATGTTTACACATTATAAGAATAATATATATTTCTCTACATTATTATTGAATAATCAAATTGAATCGGTATCCATGATACCACAGAGATATAAAAATAAGTGTTGATAATGTTGAGTGAAATCCTCCATTACTCCATTTAATTGTGAACAAAAATATAATAATAAATTCATTTTATGCAAAATTGTTTTACAACAAATCGGACAGTATATTATGGTGAATACAAAAGTTATAAGATTTGTATAATAACAAAATGAATTGTTTAAAACATGAATATGATCAGATATACGAAATTTAGTGTGCGTAGTTTTTACATACTGTACATGCTTAATAACCTACGCAGTTTTATCTAACAAGTTATTCCCTAACTAGATTATAGTAAATGTACTATGGTCAATATAATATTTGTTTGTATTATTGTCTATATACATGAGATAATATATAAGCAGTATTTATGCGACAGTTTACTAAGCTTTCATCTAAAATACATAGTAACATTGTTAATGTTTTAAATAATTTATTTGCATGTAACAATATTGCATGTCAAAACTATTCATTAATGTCGCAAAATCTAGACGTATTAGAAATAACACACTGATACCGTGACCACAGTGCTAACACAATTAGATCAATACTACGTTAACAACCAACAAGTGCAAATTGGAAATTACAAAGTACGTCGATTAACAAGAACAGATTATGACCATTCTAAATTTTGTCCAAAATCAGCCATATTATCCTGGATTCCTGGACATTTTACTAATTTTACCCATCTAATTCCGGAATAATCCAGGCCATTTCTGGACATCTGATCAGTCTACTATCAGGGTAAAATGACCGAATTGGCCGAAGTGGCAGGCCGGCAACACCTCCAGGACTTGTGCAACCAATACGACCTCGAGTTGGAGCGCTTTATTAAGTTGGGGGCCGGCGGTGCCGACACTTTCGATGAGTTCAAATCCGAGGCCAAATTAGTCGGTCATCGAGTGTTGGCCGAGTATCTAAAGGGTCACCAATGGGCGCGCAGTATCCTAAACACCAGGGATGTGACCGCGTGTTTTGACGAACTACTTGCTGACTCGAAAAACGTATTTCAGGAGCAAAAATATATGGAACGACTGGCGGTGGATCTGCTCTTAAACACAGTGTTATATGAGTATACAGACCGTATGGGTATAAGCCGGGCCAAAATTGCATACATTCGCGCCGATCGGCTAAAACAAATGCACAACATTTTGGTCGGTGATCTGATCAGAGAGTACCAGGACCGGCGCGGTCATTTAACCAACAACAAATTCACCCAGCTTATTACCGATTTACTGGACACCGCGTATTGTACGGTAAAAGATGATAACGATAAAAATATGCCAACAGTGCCGGCAATCGGCATCTACGTAGGCACGACCAACTCGTCTGTTGCCTACTATCGGCCCGACACTCGACAAGTTGTCGTGTTCGAGTCGGACACCGGACGCCAAACCACACCAACGGTGGTCCAGTATAGGGTAGAGGACGGCGAGACGATTGTGGGCGACAACGCCTGCGACAACATTATGGCTGACCCGCGACAGCTAGTATACTCTGTAAAGCGTCTGATTGGCCGCAAATTTAGCTCCAGGGAAGTGCGCGAAAACCGCGACAACTGGCCCTTCCGTGTAGTCGACATGGGTCAGGACGAGCCGGGCGTTGAAGTACAGACGAGATCTGACGGCCAAACGGAACAGTTTTTGCCTGAAGAGGTGTTGGCACAGGTGGTGAAAAAAATGAAAGAAAACGCTGAGGGAGGGGTGAAATTGGGCGGCGATGGGCAGGAAGTGGTGATAGAAAACTGTGTGATCACTGTTCCCGCCTCTTTCAATAACACACAACGGGAAGCCACAAGAGAGGCGGCCACTATGGCTGGTCTTAATGTGTTGAGGGTTATGAACGAACCCACAGCGGCCGCTCTGGCCTATCAGCTCAATCGTTTTGAAAACTTACGATCTAGGTAGGTCACATTTTATTTTTAATTAAAAATTTCTTTTAGACTTGATAAATAAATAGATTTTTAAAAAAATTCCGTTAAATAAATTAAGAGTCAAGCTGACGGCATTGATTTATAAACAACCGTTAACAACAATCACCTGTTAAAACTTTAAAATATAAATTTATATTTTAATGACTGTAAATTACAATTTACAAAGCATTGCACTTAAAATCTCATAAAATTTTAACGGTTAATAGCATTGCAACCAGTTTTGCGATGTGAACTGATCATGTATTGCTTGTCAGTTTACCAAAAATTTGTTAAAACTATATTTATCAATTTGAGGCGTTCGTAAATGTTTTGACTATTATGCAACAAGCGAACGTAAGATCAATATTATATTATTATAAAATTAACTGGTTAGTTATACTTCAGCATTTTAAAACCAAATATTGTAAAATTGTTTTAATAAATATTAAGTTATTATGAATTATCTTGGTATATTTTTAACATTAATAGTTTTTGCAAATTAATATATCCAAAATAATTGAAAGTTATTGTCTACGAAAGCGAAAATAAATGAAAATTTCACACAAAATTTGAATAACTGTCTAACTAATAAAGTTAATATAATATAATTTTATATACAAATATGAAACAATAATGTGCAAATGAAAACAAAATAAGTTTGCCCTCTCAATGATAAAATTTATATTTAAGCATTATCTGCACAGCAAAAACTAAAATTTCAATCTTAATTTTGTCTTCACCATTCGAACCAACGTCGAAAATAAGTAGACAATTATATTGGCAATATGTTGATCAATCATTAAATATAGTATATTACTTTGACTATATAGAGTAATTATTGTGTAAATTAAATGTGACCCAACATAATAGATACAATATTTAGTGTATTAAACATTAATGAAAAATAACTAGCTTAAGTGATGTTTTCAATTATTTTATCGAATTATAAGTTATAATTTATAACTATTAAAATAGCTATTTAAGATTTTAGTTCTATTAAAGTAACTATTATAGTGACTAATTTGAGTATTATATTCAATGCCTAAAATTCAATGTTCTGATTATTTACAAATAAGGATCGTGCTAGTATATCACTTTGGAGGCAGTACATTCGAAGTATCTATATTGGCTATCGAAAGGGGGAAAATGCATGTACTGGAAGTTAACGGCGACAATCACGTAGGTGGCGACGACTTGACCAACACAATGATTGACCACTGTTTGGCTAAGTTTGGCGGCGAACGGGTAGATAAACAGACCAATGAGGGGTCGGTCGCACTCCGTCGACTGAAACGCGAGTGTGAAAGACGAAAAATCGAGTTGAGCATGTCAAATTTGGTGACCATAAAACTTGACAATTTGATCGGCACTCGGCACATGAACATAAAAATTACCAGGCAACAATTTAACGATATGTGCAAGCGCCTTTTTAAACGCACAATGGAATGTGTGACAGATGTTATAGCTAAGGCGGACAAAATGCAAAGGGACATTGACGATGTGATCTTGGTGGGCGGCTCTACGCGTATACCTTATGTTAAGGAGATGTTGGGCGAGTATTTCGATAAACAACCATGCCACACTGTTAACCCAGATCTAGTTGTGGCCGAGGGAGCTGCCATTCAGGTATATTATATCCGGGAATTATTAAAAACATTATTATGTACATCGTTTATTTGTCTTGAATTTTAACTAAAGTTTAGTATTTTTTCAAATGAAATATTATTATGTTGCATGCGTTGCATGACTTGAAATTTAATTAAATATTTTTGTTTATCATAAATAATATTAAATTAAAATATTAACTCGAAATTTGATGAAAATCCGAATTGTCACTTTATTATTTTACAGTCAACATAATCTGTCGCCGCGGTTTTTGTGATTACAGCTAATCTAGAAGAGCTAGATTAAATTTGTAAATAGTAAAATGAAGGTCCACATGTCTAGTTTTTTGTATCAAAAAATTATTAAAATCACGTAAACACAACACAGAAATTTTTAAGTCAAATCGATTTGTCATGTTTTATACCTACCTCGAAAGGGGCGGGTATGTTAATGTTTAGAGGAGATGTCAAAGACTGTGATTTAACAGAATGTGAACAGATTTATTATTTAACACAATAATCTCTTGATCTGCTATATAGGCTGCAATTTTGAACGGCAAGCAAGCTCGACTATCTGGTACAATCTGTGAAACCGGTATTTACCTTGGCACCATCTTAGACTCTATTGTCCCCAAACCCGCTCCGGTGGTCGTCAATGGCGATCAAAATATAGGTGTTGTTGTCTTGTTTAGTAATTAAATGTTACGTTGTATTTAATATAGTTTAATATAATTTAGGACAAAAAAATACATCAATGTCGTCAGTTGAAAATATATACAGCCTTCAATTTGAGGAATTAAACGAAATCGGTCATGGTCAGTTTGGTATTGTGTTCAAGGCGCGACATAAATTTGACAACAAATTATACGCCGTTAAACGTGTTGTATATAATGGTATTAAAATTAAAATATTAATTTAATTTTTAATACAATTATATATATTTTAATTAAGATCAAAATAAACACGTGAAAAACGAAGTGGAATATCTAACAAGCTTGGAATCGCAATACGTGATTAAATACTACAACTCTTGGTCGTTTGACAGCCATCTGTACATTCAAATGGAATTCTGTGAACAGAATCTTAATAAGATTTTATTAGATAAAAACCATTTGTTTGGTCATCCATCAGGCAATGACATTCAAATCAGCTCGTGTTTTGAATATTACATAATGTGTGAAATATTTCGCGAAATGGTTGAATGCGTACAGTATTTGCACGAATGCGAGCCCCAGATTATTCACCGCGATCTCAAACCGGACAACGTGTTAATCGCACACATTGTGCGCAATGGCCGGTTTATTAAGCTAGGTGATTTTGGCCTGGCCACGTTCACAACGAACAACGCCACGAAATGACCAAGTATAAACACTCTACTTGTGGCACAATGAAATACATGGCCAGTGAAGTGTTGCATGGTGCAAAATATAATCATAAAGCAGATGTTTATAGCCTCGCAGTTATTGCGGCCGAAATGTTTGGCATAAATTTATTTGGGTTGAGTATTGATTTAAATATATTTTATGTAATATTACTAATTTTAAAATTTATAATTTATAGAAGTCAATCGTATACCATAGACGGGAATGTTATTTTTAAAAGATTATTGTTAAATCTTTTTAAGTTATTAATGGACATGATTATAAGCCCACAATTTTATAGAAGACCCGACTGTTCGGATATATTAAATAAATATAGCGAGTGGTCAATTGAGAAAGCAATTATTGTTGACCATCAAGAGTTTAATGAAAATAAGAATATGTTTGATGATTTTGAAAACAAATTTTTCTATAAATTTTTCATGAAAAAGATTCAATAGTACAATGTAAACTAGACTAAAATATAAACTTATTACCAAGATAAAGCATTTTGTATACATTAGATCAAAACTAACAATTATAATGAAATTTGTTGCACAAAATTAAGACATTTTTACGATAATGAAGTTAATTTAAAGACAAATTTACAAAATTGCTTATATGTACATTTACATAATTCCTGCATTCAAGAAGTTTAAAATTGATTATAATTTTTGTGTTTTATTTCTTGTATTAATTCCATAAGTCTTGTTATATAATTATCTACTTATTCTACAATGCATAATTAACCTATTACTATCTGAAATTTATTTTAAGTTGCAATTTGTAGACATACAATAATGCGTTATTGTATAAATTACATGGCAACCGATAATAAAATTATCGTTTTTATTTATGTTTGATTTATTATACCATTAAACATGGAATTTTGTTGTTGAATATTAAATAAATATATGTTATGCATATTTTCATTTAATTGTGTTTAAAACTGAAATTAAATAAAATGGACTCAAATTTACAAACATGTGATGAAGACTACAAATTAATTATCACTGAAATACAATTATTTCACGTTTTTGACGACAAACGGGGATATAATGTACTGTTTGTGACAAACAATGACTGTGTGTATGGGTTGGGCTCTAACGGCGGCGGATCACTGGGTTTTGGGCACAACCTTCCCGTCCGATCGCAACAACTTATACCAAAATTATGTGACAAAAATATACAACAATTCATAACTGGCGTTGACTTTGTGCTGGCTATTACTGATAATAAAATGGTGTTTGGTTGGGGTGTTAATGATCATGGGCAATTGGCTAGACCACCTTGTTCGGATCAGTGTGTGCCAGAAGTCATTGAATTTTTCATTAACAAAAGTATACATGAAATTTGTTGCGGTTATTATCATTCACTAGCGTTGACCAGTGATGGCCGGGTATACGCGTGGGGACAGAATATGTTTGGCCAAATAGGGTGCACAGATGTTGACCATGGTAGCGTATATGTTCCCAAAGAATTAGACTTTAGTGAAAACTGTCAAATCAATAGTGTCTACTGTTCACTCTACTCGTCATTTGCCATTACAACTGATGGACAAGTGTTTAGTTGGGGTCGAAATCATTGGTATAATTTGGAACACAATGACCACAATGTGTTGACACCCCGTATAATACCGGGTGTTTGTAATGTGCAAACTGTTCGCTCAAATGGCAATCAAACTTGTTTTTTAACTCGCGATGGTTTTGTGTATTTTTGCGGTCAATATATTGAGAATGAGATGAACTTAATGCAAAAAACACCAATGATTATACCAAGTTTAAATATGTGCATTGAATTAGATCTCGTTCTTTCACATCTAAATAATTTCTTTGAAATAATAGCGAAAACAAGTGATAAGTTATTTAGTATTATATCACAGAATGATGTAATTGTTACGGAGTATAATAATATATTAGATTATTGCCTTGATGAATTTCAATTAACGCACAAAACAGTTAATTTGTACAAAAATGATGAATTTAATTATGATTGTATTGATAAGTACCGCAACAAATGTAGTAATTATTTGCTGGAAATGTTTGAAACAATTAGACAATTAGCCAATGGTAAGTTAAAAATAAAACAAATATAATAAATTTTAATTATTTTAATTAACTATCTAGATCAAAATAAAACCAGAAGTTGCTCGGCACTTAATGATTATAACAGACTCTTTGAAGAATTAGGTAAATTAGGCTCAGGATCATTTGGTACAGTTTATAAAGTTAGAAAATTAAATGACGAACAACACTATGCCATCAAAATAATTAAACTCAAAAGTAATTTTAATTAGTATTTTATTAATATAATTAACTTATTAATCTTAAATAATATTTTTAGTTTACAAGGTAAACTAAATGTCGGAGAACACGATGAATTTTATGCGGAATTAAACCACCTAGTGACTGTCCGGTCTGAATACGTAGTCAAATACATAGACTCGTGGTTTGAGGGGAATCTATATTACCTACAAATGGAGTTGTGTTCGGTAGTCTTCAAAACATTTTAAAGAAAAAACTCAACGTTTTCCTCCGAGAATCGGGACAACCGATGAATTGTGTCGAGTATTACATATCATGCGAAATATTTCGTGAACTCTTACAATGCGTTCAATATTTGCATGAATTGTCGCCACAAATCATACACCAAGACCTCAAACCTGACAATATATTAGTCTCAATGTGTGGGTCCCAAAGCAATGGCCACTATTTCAAACTATGTGATTTTGGTTTAGCCGCTATTCACAATAGGAATGCGTATGAATTAACCGGTGGTAAACATTCGGCAGGTGTGGGAACTGTAGGCTTTCAGGCCCCGGAAGTGTCCCGCGGACTGCCTTACAATCATTTGAGTGATGTGTTTAGTTTGAGCAAAATTGGTTAAATTCTATTTGATCTAGATATTTCTGATGTGGATCCAGATTGTCCTGGGTTTGTTATATTTTTGATCTGTTACAATTATTGTCATATTTTATATTTTTATTTTATAACATATAGAGTATATTCATCAAATGAAGTGTTGAATAAATCGTGGTATAATTTGGTAGAGGTGTTGGCGGCCATGTACTCGACGCCAGGTTGGACATCGAGACCCGAGTGCTCACATGTGTTAAAACAATATAACAAATGGTCTATTGATTAGAATACTATAATGAGTAATAAAGTCAATTACGAATTGAATTTAAGCATGCTAAGACAAAATGACTGTAAATTTTTCTATAAATTCTTTTGTAATAAAATAATATAATTTATTTTTATTCGCAATCACATAAACCACATTTTTCGTTAATGAATTCTGGTGAAAATATCTTTTGTCTTTAACAATTACCATAGAGTAATTTTTAAACCAAATATAAACGCGCGTTAATTAATAATTTTAGCTAATAATGAAAGATCAACTAATTCACAAATGATTAATCTAAATTGTTTGCAGAATTATGTAAAGTGGGTACAGAATCATTTGGTACAGTTCATAAAGTTAGAAAGTAAAATAATAAACAACACTATGCAACAATGCACATTATTTAATTCAAAAGTAATATTAGTTATTATTTAATTACATTTTTATATTTTAATTTTATATTTGTTTACAGCAAAACTGGAAATTCTGACTATTTTTATGCAGAATTAAATCACCTAGTTATTGTCCGGTCTAAATAAGTGGTCAAATACATAGACTTATGGTTTGAGGGGAATAAATATTACATACTCATAGAATTGTATGTAAAAGTTTAATGCAAAATATGTTTAATTATTAGCGTTAATTTGAGCATGCTTTAACAAAATGATTGTAAAGTTTTTTAAATAAATTTCTAGATAGTAAAATAACAATTAAATAATTAACTAACTTTGTTATAATTTAAAGTTTTTATAGAATCTATATCTTAAATAGTTTATTTTAATACATTATTGTTTGCAACATTTGCATTGTAAATTTTATATACAAACAATAAAGTAAAATAATAATGAAAGATTTTTAAAAATGATATTCATTTAACAAATCTTTTAAAAATTAAATTTTCAAAATACTATTAATAAACGCAATACAATAAATTGTTAGTTAATAAAATGACAATTTAATATTTAATTGACTTTGTTATAATTAATTAATATAATATTTAATATAAAGTTTGCATATAATTTATATCTTAAATTATCTATTTTAATACATTATTATTTGCAATATTTAATTGAGTTTATTTATAAATAATCAATTAATTTGTATCATTGACTACAAAGATAATTGAGAATAATAGTATATACATGTCATTATATACTGTATACTTATATACTGTTATTAAATATCAAATGTCAATATAATATAATATTATATTATATATATAATTATGATTCTATGACATTTTTTCGAAAGACGTTTTTTCGAAACCAATTTTTTGAAAGACATTTTTTTGATACCAATTTTTTGAAAGACATTTTTTCGAAAAAATTAATTTAAATTAAAGAATTAACAAGTTTAACCTAACCTAACTTACTTTAAACTAACCTAAACTAACTTATAATAACTTAACTAATAATATTATTAGCAATTTAACTTAATCTAATAAGTTTAAAGTAAATTTAAATTAATTTTTCAAAAAAATGTCTTTCGAAAAAACGTCTTTCGAAAATATGATTTCGAAAAAATGTCTTTCGAAAAAGTGTCTACATACCATAATTATATATATTCTTATGTAGTAATGTTTTATTTTATTTTCTTTCAATCTATTTTGTAATTGTTTCCTTAAACATTTGATATTTTTAAAAATTAATGACAAACAACCTATTTAAAATTTCTATAATGTTATAAGAGATAATATTATTTAATAATGGGAAGCATGCAATCTAAAGTATTATGGGGATGTATAATATTTGAATGTTTATTATGTGGATGTACATGTTGTAAACAACCAAGGAGGTAAGTAAATTTTATTAAAAAATTTTCAATACGCTCATAAAGTTAAAACTTTGAAATTTAATATTGCCATCAAATTAGATAAATTCCCAACCTTGCCAATTGTGTCTTCTTATACTTATGTATATTCAATATCAAACTAAAAATTTATCTTGCTAATTAACCAAAGCATTGTATCCATGGGATATTTCGATCCCAGTGAGTTTAAAACTTATGGCTAAA